GTGTTAAGACTTCCAGCCTTAGGGTGTCTTCACAGTAGTTCCAGCCTCAGACTTCCACCTGCATTTCTGAATAGCTAATGCATTCTAGCCACTTTCCTCCTTCCTAGTTCCCCACTCACAGTTTGTTGTTCTGGGCCAGAGACATCCCAGGATTCTGGCAGGTCAGTGCTGCCTGGACTGCTCTGGGCTGATGCCTCACCCAGCTAAAGTGATTTCAGCTTCAGTTGCTGGCTAGGGAGGTCCACACCATGGATAGGCTGCTGATATTTCTGCAGTTTCAGCTCATGTATCATCTTAAAGCCATCTCAACTCTGTGTCTTTCACTATTTTGTAGCTGTTCCAACTCAGCTCTTTAGAGAGTGCTTAGAGGTATCCAGAACCCTTCACAAAATTCTTCCTGTCAGAGAAAAACTCCCAGCAGAAAATCAGTGTCTCTTACCACTTCAAAAGTTATCTTTCCTCCCTTGGTATCCTGCTGTTAAGTGAATTGTCTCCTTAGACTGACCTCACACTTGGTAAGGCAACTCCCATCCTTTCATGTATTTATACCTGCTCCTGTATTTTCCACTTCATGCATCTGATGAAGTGGGTTCTAGCCCACGAAAGCTTATGCCCAAATAAATTTGTTAATCTCTAAGGTGCCATAAGGACTCCTCGTTGTTTTTCCCTTCCTAGTCACTGTTTACAGGGGTTCAGGGTCCCATAACCAACTGTGCCTGACTGTAGTGTCGGTCATGGTAGTCACAGGCACAGTTAGTGTCAGGGTTTTTTTTTCATTTCCCAACAGAGTCAATAGCATTTTATTGCCCCCAAGCTCAAAACTTAACCAGAATACCCCAAACTGTTGCTTAACCAAAATGCAAATGAGGCCCAGCCCATTCAGTCATTTCCCCCTGTTCACCAGCAGATGCCAGCAGAGAGCTCACATCTGGAGTTCTCAAGCAGCTGTGAGCCGAAGTCCTGTTTCACCAACAGGCGTCAGTAGTAACCATTGTACAGTCTAGGGCATCAGGCCACAGGGCTCATAACATTATTATTCATAGGGTTTCTTTATATTACTGCCTAGGGACCAGCCAAGAATGGAACCCTATTGTGTTAAGCTCAGTACAAAGAGAGAGAATGGCTTCACATGCAGTTGAGAGGGGGATGAGATTCCCAGCTCTTGTAGACATACTCATGCTAGCTTCATTGAGCTAACGTACTAAAAATAGTAGCATAGCCAGGGTAGCACAGGCAATGGTGGCATAAATTAGCTATGCTGAGTCCAAGCCCGTGGCTATGTACTCAGTACAGCAAGCCCATGCCGCTGCTCGCCGTTGCCTGGATCCACTACAATTTTTCATGCGCTAATTCAGTGAGAGCTATCATACATATGTCAATGTAAGCTGGGAATAACACTCCTGATTGCAAGTGTAGACTACTTCCAGAGTGGTAGACAGTCCCTGCTCTGAGGAGTGATAGAATACACAAGCAGAGTGAACAATGTGATGGTAGCAAATGTCATGTTAGTTCCGTGAGCTTGTTTTTGTTAGGAGAGGATTAGCTAAATGGAAAGACAAAGGAAGGGAGAGCAATGAGAGGGCCAAAGCAGGTGAGAAGTGGAAGGGGAGGAAGGAGGAATAAGAAGGGAAGCTGTGAAATGTGTCTGAGGTGAATAGATTGGAAGGGAGTGGGAGGAAGAGGTTGGAGCTAACAGCGAATCTACACTGGTCAGAAAATGTCCAGTTAAAAAAAATGTAGAAAATACTCTGAGGACATCAGCAGCATCTGTTGGTCCCTGTATAAGCTGATTCTGCAGCTGCTCCTGCCAGCTTTGGTCTCTGACTGGCTCCTCCTCACTGTTTCTTTCCCCGAGGCCACAGGGTGGTATTGGGAGGGTAGACACTGCCTGGATCCCAGCTCTGGGTCCTGAGGGTGCTTGAGTAGGGGTATCTCTTTCATTGTAAAGACTAACAACAATGGTAATGCTGGACAAGTGCAATCTCTTTTTGCTCTGGAGTGAGCATTTAGCAGAAGCTGCTCTATCTTTGTTCCAACCAGGTGCTGCACGAACAGCTACTAGAAATTGTACTGGTAACAATGGTTTCTGAAAACATTGATACTTATTGCAAGCAGGTTTGTACAGGCTGCTTACCCTACAGAGATCACACAAATTGCAGTGGTTTTAAGCATAGTGGTTTGTTGGGATAACTCCCAACTGTCTCTTTAGAGAAGAAATGATATCTTATATTGATGTCTGCTTTGCCTACCTTTATCTTTTGAGCCTAGAAAGAAAAGGTACTTGATACAACTATCTTAAAAATTCCCAGACTTACTACTACTATATTATAAATTATAAATTATTGATTATTATTATTATTATTATTTGTATAATGGTAGCACCACAAGGTTCCAGTCAGTATCCAAGGTCCCAGTGGGTTTGGTGCTATACAAACACATAAAGTTCTAAAAGATAGCCCTTGCCCCAAAGAGTTATAACCGAATTACAGAGTGGACAGGCGAGAGGGAGAAGAAGATGAGGGTAACAGTAATGGAAACACACGGTAACATGGACTGGTAGTGTGCATAATTTGCAGGTTTCGGGTTTATTTAGTAAGAATTGTACACATTGGGAATTGTTGCACATAGATGGGAGAAGTGATCAACCAAGCTGAGCAAGTTTAGAATGTGCATCAGCTTCTGAAATTCTGTCCTGACATTACTGGATTCCAGCTCCTGACAGACATTGCCTGATTCAAGAGTTCCTGAATGAAATCACCAGATTCACAAATCCTGATTTATAATCCTGGATCCTACAGTTGTTGCCTCATCCCAATAAAGTGTCAGTTCATAGAGAGAGAATATGTGATGGTCTGGTGTGTTATAAATTTTGTATTGCTAGGAGTTTGGGACAGCACCATTACTCACAAGTGGCAGGGCCAGCCACATCATCATTTTTCCATTTGATGTATGTTAATTACTACAGGAGGAAGATTGCTTTGGTAGGAGTATGACACTAACAAGAACAGAATAAAATCAATCTTTTCCCTCTTGCTGAAATGTCACTAATTATCCAGTTGCTTTGCTGCTGCTTAGGTATGTGTTATACTATAAGAACTATACTTGGATACAAGTATTCAGTATGCCTAATAATTCCTTAATAAAAATTGCTAATCATTTTGCTTTTGATGTAATTCAGTGTAAAGTTAGGTGTTTTGAGAGTTGGTCTTTTGTCTCTCCTAGACTTGTTTCTTGTCTCTTTTATGATATTGAGTCTGTAAAACATGATAATGGAAGGAGAAACTTCACATATGACAGGAGACTTCTGATATCCTATAATTGTACTTCATCTTTATTATCTACTAACTTCAGGTCTCAAAGACCTTGTTGACCATGTACTTTAGTGGTACAAAAATCTGTACCCTGCCTTTGTCACAGAAAATAGTGTAACTGTTGCTGTTTGCTCAGATGAAACAGTAAGTTTTGAAGTTTGTCATCTGCTGCTACAAAAATTGTCTCCATTTTATAAAGATTACAAAATTATGAAAATCAATCAAAATTAATAAAGATGAAAAAAGAGAAGAGTTGGTAAGGAAAAATTGATTTAGAATTGGTCTAAAAGCTTCCAAATAAGCTTAAAATACACGCAGCTAAAAGAATTACATTTTATTTTCAATTCCTTCAGATATTTTTCTTGGCAGTAGCTTAAATCTTGACTTTTGCACAAAGTACACTTACTGCTAAATAGTAAAAAACTATTTCAGTTGTTTCTCTTTATTCTCCCTTGCTCATCAAGTTGTTTATCATTGTATGCTTGAATAGAGCTCAAGATTATAATAAAGAGTTAAAATAGGACAAGGACAGAAGACACTGAACTAGATGGATTAAGAGCAATTCCTTTGTTTTAGGGTTTGCAGTTCTTCCTATTGCTCACCATGAATTGTGCTTGAGTGTGCTTTGGTGTCCCTAGCCTCTGTTTATCAGAGGGTGGAGATGGATGGCAGGAGAGAGATCACTTGATCATTACCTGTTAGGTTCACTCCCTCTGGGACATCTGGCATTGGCAACTGTCGGTAGATACTGGGCTCGATGGACCTTTGGTCTGATCCAGTACAGCCGTTCTTATGCACTTGGAAGAGATAAAGCATTCGCAGCCATGAGCACCAGGCACTGACAAAAATGCTTCCCATTGTTCCCCTAAAACATAATCTTCCTCAGCCAGTGAAGATCAGTGCTTCATGCTGGGTGCTGGACCCAGTGTTCTTGCAGGCCCATCACCTGGCAGTAGCCATTCTTCCCAGTTTATTTCACCTTATGGGTCATAAGTAACAAAGCACCATGCTCAGTTGCTCTATCAGTGTTTCAGTGCACTTTTCATCTACCCCCTTTAAGACTGAGCCCTAAAGCCTAATTCAGTAAAGCACGTAAGCACATGCTTAATTTTAAGTGTATGCTTTAAATCCCATTGAAGTCAGTAATAATTAACACTGATATCAGTAGGATGTAAGCCAATCCCTAAAATTAATCCTAAACTTAATTTCTTTATTGAAATGGGATAGACTGCAGAATCAGGACCTAAATCGCTATTTTTTTCAAAGTTTCAAGGGTTCCTAGATAAAGAGTTTGTTAATATGCACAACCATTTTGTTTAGGCAATCACATAACCAATAGTGTATTGACTACTTTAATTTTCTCACATGAGCAGTCCCACTGAGTACACCAGGACTAAGGGCTCCACAATCAGGCTCCTCTCATAAAAGCTTTAAATCAGTGTCTGCTACTGAATAAATAGGATATAAACCACTAACAAAAAGTGAGTGTATCTAGGATGCACTTAATACCGTACCTCTAAAATGTTTGGATAAATCACGCAGAAAGTAATAAGAAGCTTTTAATATTAAATGATAAACAGACTTTGAGCATCCCAGTCCTGTTTTAGGAAAAAATTAATCAGCTTAGCTATCGTATTCACAAGTTTAATGCTCTGAGAGAAAAGTGATTGTCTAATTTTTTTTCCACAGTAATTAAGGAAAGTCAAAAGCAGCAACTGGAATCTGTGAGCTACTCCTCTCGTTACGCTCTGGGACTCTTTTATGAAGCTGGCACATGGATTGATGTTCCCTGGGCTGCACAGTACATCACCAATAATCCCTGCATACGCTTCATCTCCATCGATAATAAGAAGCGCAATATAGGTCAGTGCTCCTATTATTTCCCTTAAATAGTAACAATAGAGGGTGTAGATCATGAAAAATGCTGTTTAATTGAGTGTTGCTATTCTGAACAGAGCAAGTATTTAACTCCAAGCCACAGGGGATAAAATTTAATGTCACATTTGGGCTGCAATAAAAATGCACTATGAAACCAGGGAAGTTTTCAGAAAATTATCACCCAGCACATGGTTTGTATTACTGAGTTTATGAAAACAGTGTCAGAGGATTTAAAACATCAAAATGTTATTATTCCAAGAAATAGTCTTCATTCTATTATTTAAACATTAATTCATGCACATGCCACTTTATCTACCATCATCTATTATTTTACAACTCTTGATCTTTCCATTGAGAATGCTTGGAACTGTTAATGAATTATATAATCAAGCCTGATCAGTCTAATTCAGTGTTAACTAGTTTGTTATTTCATCATGGAAAATCTTTGATATTACAGTATGTACAGTATTACTTCACCAGACTACTTTGCAGAGTGCTGCTTAAGAGCTTAGCAAGCATTCTGTGAGGCTTACATTTCTCATCTCTTCGTTGAAGATGTCATAAAAACAGATAGTATACTGTACTTATTAACCATCGTTAGCAAGAATCCCATGGGAAAACTACAACTCTTGAATCATGTTAAAAGTAACTATGGGCAACTTTCTAATGTGAATTTTTTGTGAACCATTAATCTTTTGGGGGGGGGAAGGGGAGTGCTGGGTTTGTTTTTTGTTTTGTTTTTTTATTGGTGGGGAGGGCAGAATGTGAATCCTATATTGCTGAAATTCTTGGAAAATAAAAATTGGCATAAATTTGTTATCACTAAATTGTAGTGAAGTGAGGTTCTATCTACCTTGGTTAAATCTCTTGCACTTATATTTGATGGTGTTTCTTAGAACATCCCAACTACACAACTCTTTCAAAAATCTAACTGGGACATCCATAGTCTAGTAGATTAAGCATGGGGCTAGGATTAAGGAGATCTGAATTTCTCTTACCAGCTCTGCCACTGGCTCACTGTGATCTTGACAAGTCAGTTAACTTCTGTTACTTCATCTGTGAAATGGGAATAATAATCTATCCATTTTTGCAAAACACATGGAGATTTGTGCCAAAATGTGCTGTGAACTACTGAACAACATGAGCGAGTAAGGATTTTCAGAATTAGGCTCTATATAAATACAAGGTAGTATTAATTAACTAAACTGAAGCATGGTTTTATATGCAAGCGATGAACCTAGAAATATTTCTTTTTAATTTATCTTGTTCAGTCTGGACTGATTGAGTTTAAATTCATACTTCGTATATGCACTGATCAGCATCTATCTATGAAAGTACTCAGGTGTGCCCATCACTAGGGTTTCCCAAACATCAGCAAAATTATATAAAGCAATCATATTGGAAAGACTGAATTCATTTTTACTTGTATTATGCCAAATACATGGAATTTTAAAACTATTACTATATTAGTTACCATCTTTAGGAAGTAAGGCAAGCCATTATTTAACATTATTATTGTGGGAAAGCTGTGGCAATGAGATGATCTCATATTTCCCTCAGGCAGCAAGAAAACCTGAGGTTGTTCTACTTACTGGTGTAAGGGTACAGCTATGGGCCAGCTGCCTGGAAAGGCTTGCCTCCTGCTTATATAGTTTTCACCCTGTTTTCTAACTCCAGCATCCCCAAATAATACAGCTGTCAAGTAGGTCTCAGAGAGAGAGAGAGGCCATTCCTGAGATATCCCAGGGGCAGCTCATGTGAGGTTATTAAAGATCACCATCTGGACCTTGACCTGAATCCAGTAATGAACAAGGAGCCAGTGTAACATAACAAGTTACAAAGTGATATGCTTATGTCTTGCTGTGCTGCTGTTGCATGCTCAAACTTCCTGCTTTTCTCTTCCATCCTCACATTTACAGTAGCTAATTGTGGTAGTCAGGCTTGGAGATGAGAAACTTCTGTATTGATGTGGCCAGGTCCCCACTTGGCCACTGGGGATGATCACAGACATTTCTTGTTACTGTTGCATCACCTTGATGATCAGAGGGTGCATGTCCCCAAACTGAGGGTGATGATGTAGTTTGGGCCATCATTTCTAAGTATTTCGCTTTTCCAACCAAAATCACCTGGCATCTTTTTCAGGTTTTATTTTAGCCAGTGACTCATACTGCCCAGGCATACTGACTGATGGTGCTGTTTATTGATGGCACAATTAACGAGCTGTGTAGCAAGTGTTTTGGACATATTAATATGTTACTAAAGATTATGAAAATGTATATATTCAAGATGACACACACTTCCCACCTAGTAGTGTAGGCTCCAAAATATCATGATGATAAATTCTCTAGGAAAGTGCAATTTCTCAAGAGGAATGAACTGCCTAGCAGTTGCAGGGTTTGAACAAGTTGAGGACCAGCAATTGCAGATGAACTGCCTCCCACAAGGCCTCATTACAACATATAAACAGCCAGCCAGCCTTCTCTTTTGTACTCTGTTCCTTGTTAACTTGAATTTTAGACATTTAAACTTTGTTCCAAGAAAACTAGTAGTGGAGTGGGAGAATAATGCATGTTAGCAAGGAGAGAGAAATATTTCTGATGGTGGGAGCTCGTGCATAGCATGGGAGGTTTGAAAGACGTGCCCTTGCTCTGTTTATTAAGTATATTTTAATAAATAAAAATATAAATATCTGAATAGCGCACATAAATTGTCAAGGAGAGATTCTCGTTTCTTTATACACAACTCCTAATGTTACGGGAACATGTATAATTATACACACACACGTAGCATTCAATGTGTAGTTTACTTATATTAGCGGTATAGTAACTGAAACACTGTTTACAAAGTTTTCTTTGATTTGTTTTAGTATATATATATATAAATAGTTTACACTTTCATTTTTCTCTTATTGCACCCTTGATAGGTGTACATTGTGTTTAAGAAAGAAATAGTTGCTTATGCACACAAGCACACAGAAGGTGGCAAATATTAAGATACAAACAAAACATGGTGGGGGGAACAGTGCCCCACTACTTTTATGTACGATAATGTATACATAATAAGGTAAGCAAAGATTTTATATTATCTGGGTTTTACACTGCTGATGAAAACTTATTGGCAAACAACATGGAACTGCAGCCTTGAAGAGCACTACAGCCTTCTGTTATGGGAAGCTCAGTTATTTTTCAAAGTAATAGATGTTTCTAAAATAGATATATGCATACACTGTCTGCACAAAGACAAGATTATTTATAGCTGTTAAATTCTATTGCTCTTTACAGAAGTACCAACTTTTTTTGTTGTTTACACAAGACTTGGTAATTATTACTTTGACTCATTTAGCAAATGACAGAAGATAAGGAACAAGAAATAAATAGCACTTTATAGTGGTGGTTTGACTTTTTATTGGTGAGATTTACAAATAAAAGTGAACAATTTACTGTTACTAAAATCATGATAGGATGCAGTTTGTTATCAAAGTTGTCTCAGATTGGCAGATGAGAGGTAAGCCAAGAAATAATACAGGAATAGTAATTTTGTTCATTTTAAGGAATATGATGTTCGCTTACCGCATTACTGTGCTTTCACATAGGCATTGCTTACCACTCTCTATTGATCAGGTAAACAAATTTTTTATGTTGTATTTACTGTACAGAAGTTGCAAGCCATTAAAGTGTATCATTGCTAGGAGACCCACTAGCTGTATAAAACAATGTACAGTATCCTTATAACTACACCTTGATATCCTGAGAGGTGCTGCTCAAGAGTCCCCACTCTGAGTTACATTATAAGACTTGATCCTGCAAAGGGATCTGCATAGCTAACCCTTGACTTCACTGTGTGCTGGGGATCTTCACAGGGGACAAGTGGGGAAGGAATCCTCCACTGGAGCAGCTCTGAAGCTGCTATAGTGGCCCAGAGGTAATAAACTCAATGGCTAGTGTATTCCCTCTCTGCAAAGGAGAGCTGCTCTTGCTTTGGTTCCCCAAATCCCTATTCCTAAAGGGTAGGGGGAATCTGCTAACAAAGAGGAGGGAGCAGAGTCTGTCCCATCACACTTATAGTATGTCATTGAGAGAGAAATTCCAACCATTGCCCTCAAGGAAAACATTCCCTATGAATCTACTACACACAGCCACTATAGACCAAACTTGATCTCACAGCCATGCAACTTTGTTGGCATCAGTTGGTTGTGCAAGTACATAGGTGAGGGCAGAACTTGGCTGTGTAAATAGAGACTAACTGATACAGTTTGAATACTCCGATTCAGGAGCAGAATGAAAGGCTCTGGATTTCTGTGATGGTAAATTATTCTGTGCAGGTTTCAGTGTTGGCCTAGAGGAACCCTGTGGCCTAGTAATAGCAAGTCTGCTCTGATGGAGGATACATCAACACAAGCTGACTCCAACTCCTACTCTGGTGGGTCAGAAGATGGCAAGCACAACCCACAGTGGGCTGAGTCAGACAGGGAGTGGGTAGGCCATGGCATCCAGGTGGTGCACTGATTCTGTGGTTTCCATGGGCAGCCTCCACCATAAAGGCCCTAGGGACTCAGAGGTTGCAAACTAAATCCTGTGGCGCCTGCAGGGCTGTACCAAGCCCTGCATTTGTAAAATCTGTACAGGGTTTTAAAATTCAACTGTTATATATCCTCACTCTCATCTGAGGATTCTAGCTCCTGAACAACCACAGTATCAGTTACTTCAGCTGTCTCACCTTCCTGATTTATATTATAAAACAGAAAAATCAATAGTAAAGATTATTCATTGATTGCGCCATTCCCAGTATCTACATGGAGTATGCTCAGCCAGTAACCGCAATGGAGTCACACCTATATACACCAGCTGAGGAGCTGACCCACTGTTTTTTAATGAGGCTTGCATCTGCAGATGTAGTGTTCTTGAACATTGCATCATGAAAAGATCCTACTTCTATTGTATATTAACTTCTCTGCATAGTATGTATGCATATTAAAGAGTTAGACA